CTACTGTGTTTCCTTTACAGCCTGCAGAACTGTGGGCCAATTAAATCTCTTTTCCTTGTAAGTTACTCAGTCTCAGATATGACATTATAGTAGTGCAAGAACGAATTAATATAAGCTACCATAACAAAGTACCACAAACTGGGTGGCTTGAAAAACAGAAATTTATTGTCTTACATTTCTTGAGTCTTAAAAGTCTAAAATCAAGGTGTAACCAGTGTTTATTCCTTCCGAGGACCCTGAGGGAAAGATCTGTTCTTGGTCTATCTCTTTGGGCTTGTAGATGGTCATCTTCTCCTTTAGTTGTCTTCACATCATCTTTTCTCTATACATGTCTCTGTGTCCAGATGTTTCATTTTTATAAGGACACCAGTCATACTGGATTAGGGGTCACCCTAATAACCTCATTATAACTTGAATTATTCTTTAAAGACCCTATCACTAATACGGTCACATTGTGAGGTACTGGTGTTAGAACTTAATGTATAAATTTGGGGGGAATGTTAGTCAGCCCATAACACTGTCTATGCGACGTATCTGAACATTGAATTGGGAAGAGATTAACAGTAATACGTAATTGTTAGCCTCTCTACCATATCAATGCAGTAAACTGAAGAAAAAAATCGAGAACATAGATAAGAGTTAAATTTAATAAAATAATGAGAAAGCAATAGCTTGTATTTATTACATTGGTTTTTGATACATTTTATTTCTTTATACATACATTAATTTTTAATAATGCCCGTGTTTAACAACCAACTTATAAAATTCTTAGAAATTTAAAAATAAGCTCTTGATAGCTAAGATCAGTCATTCCCAGGAAAAGTATGTGCAATTTTTAATACAAACATAATTCTAAGCTTTTATGCCCACTTATTTCCTGCCTTCTCTCAGATCACTTCTTTACTAAACACTAAAAAAAACTTATGCATACAGATTTTTATTAATAGTTTGCTTTTCTATTGGTGTTAATTTTTAACTTATGTTTTATTTAAGTCAAGGCCCTTGTATATAGGACATTGTACTTAAGAATACAGATGAGTCATTTCCAGTAAAAGTACACACAATCACTCACTGTTTAATGCCAACATAAATTCTAGCCTTTTATGCCCACTTAATTTCTACCTTCTTTCAGATTACTTATATAATAAACAGTAAAACATTTTTATTATGTATATATTTTTATGAATAGTTTGCCAGTGTATTGATGTTAATTTTTAAATTATATGCTTCATTTGAATCAAATGCCTTTCCATTTGCAACTACTGAGCTCATTTATACTCCTTGAAATTTGTATCTGTTAATATAACAGACTAGAATACACAAGGTACATGATAAAAACTTTTAGAATTCTAATATTTATTTTTGAATATATATTACTAAAATATGGTGATTCTTAACTCTTATATTGTAGGTGTTTAAAAGTAAAAGAATGTTAAAAAATTACCTGCATAAACAGTAACATTAATACATACTCAAACTTATACATATAATTTCAATGAGTTTATAGAGAATTCATAGCCAACTTCAAGGTAACAGTCATGAACACCTTTGAAAAACATTGAATGTACCACATATAGAAAAGAATTGTCTTTCCAATAACATTTTCTTTAGATAATCACACTTAGAGTTTTTTTATTTTTATTTTTACTTTACTTTGAGACGGAGCCTCGCTCTGTCGCCCAGACTGGAGTGCAGTGGCGGCGATCTCGGCTCACTGCAAGCTCCGCCTCCCGGGTTCAGGCCCTTCTCCTGCCTCAGCCTCCTGAGTAGCTGGGACTACAGGCGCCCGCCACCTTGCCCGGCTAATTTTTTGTCTTTTTACTAGAGACTGGGTTTCACCGTGTTAGCCAGGATGGTCTCTATTTCCTGACCTCTTGATCCACCTGCCTCGTCGGCCTCCCAAAGTGCTGGGATTACAGGCGTGAGCCACCGTGCCCAGCCCACACTTACCGATTAACCAGGTTGGCCAACATGGTGAAATCCCCTCTCTACTAAAAATTCAAAAATTAGCCGGGCATGGTAGCGGGCACCTGTAATCCCGAATCCTCGGTATGCTGAGGCAGGAGAATGGCTTGAGCTTGGGAGGCGGAGGTTGCAGTGAGCCGAGATCACGCCACCGCACTCCAGCCCGGGCGACAGAGTGAGACTCCATCTCAAAACAACAACAACAACAACAAAAAAAACCCCACAAAAACAAGTTAAATGTTATCCTTATAAAAGAGTAGCAGAATATAAACAACATTTAAATGCTGCTTAAATAGCCATGTACTACAGAAATTATCATTAGGTTTATACTTTTATATCAAGAGTATGATGATAGGTATTTCTTTAAAACTCCATAGAACTAACTCATTTGTGTATTAAGAATATTTATTGTTAACTATCTTGTTAGTTTTAAGAAATTCAGTGAATACTACAATGAAGATTTTATGTTTGCCTATGCACAAAAAATTTTAAAAATTAAATGATTTAAACAACTTTTTTGTTAATACAGAGGTAAATTGTTAACCATTTTTAAATCATATATTTAGTTTGTATGCTATGATTACTAACCATTAGTTTTAAGAAATAAAAGGCATAATAGTTCTAGTTTAAAAAAACAAATAAGCCCTTATTTTCTTCTCAATATATGATCATGGCATTTTTAACATTCTTTTTTTGTTGTTGTTTCCATGGAGCATTTCCAGTGATGTCTTACTTCTTTTCTGTAATGACTATCAGCCCCCTAGGATTAGCTCCATCACATCTACCACTTGGATTATTGAAACAGTCTTTTAACAGAATGAATTGTCTCATGCTCCAATGCAGTATAAAAACCTCTTTCAAATTAATCTTACTACATTTTATGTCTGACTACATACCTGTTCTGCTCACAAAGTCTTCAGTGGACTCCCAATTGCCTTTTTCTTCAATAAAATCTCCGAATGAGCTTTTGAAACTTCAATTAAAATATGACACAAAATTTCATTTGCCGACATTTATTAAAAATGATTTACTGAGAGCATATTTTACAATGCATTGTGTCATACATTTGGGATTACACAGGTAAACTGGGATTACACAGGTAAACTATACAATATATTACTTTAAATGGAGCATAATTGAATACATATAGCAAAGTCAATCTGAAATGGAAAAATGTAGGTGTGCTAGCAGTATTTAGGAAAAATTTAAAAAAAAACTGCATTAAAGACTGAAAAACATCCTCATGTGGAAAATACTATCGAGTAGAATGTATTCTCCCCAGTGTATTCAGCCTAACCAGAATGCCTTCCACAGTTGAGGTAGAGTCACTGATTGTTTCAGCTAACATGGGATAGATTTTGTACTGCCTTTTCTAATTGGAGGATTTCTTTCATAGGGATAACGTTCCACATGTTGAATATAAATAGTGAAATTTGTCTTTTGGAAACTCTGTTAAGAAACTAAATATAGCCTCCTTTCAGGGAGATCTCCCCAGTCCTCTGAAAGCAACACGATCTAATATTTTCTTAAATACTTCAACAATTCATATGACCTTATAGCCATTATCTTTATAGAAGGGAAAGGATAAAGTTGGATATACAACTGAGGACATTTCCACACAAAGTTTTGAAGGAGTGGCTTTGCTTCTTTTTGCTGCTTATAGTTAATACTAAGGAAGGAGATACATTGAGATAACAAACAAAAGGGAAACTGAACTTCATAATTTTGAAAATTGTCAGCTTGTGCAGAATGCAAAAGATGATAAAATTAGGAGGTTCATCATCAGGAAAGTGTGCTTTGGCAAGAAAGCCCAGGTTGGGGGCGAGACATTTATTTAGTGTCTTGATAAGATCAAAAAGTCAGACTTTTCTTTCACACAGAGGTTTATTTGAAGAAGTTAACATGATTCAATAACTAAACATTGAAATATTTACATATATTAGTCTTCAAATATTACATATATTACACACATATGTATACATACACACAGTGAACTATTATATGAAAAAATGCTCAATATCGCTAATCATCAGAGAAGTAGAAATTGAAACCAAAATGAGATTTTATCTCACACTGGTTAGAATAGCTAGTATCAAAAAGACAAAAGATAAAAAGCGCCAGTGAGCATATGGATAAAAGGGAACCTTTGCACACTGTTGGTAGAATTGCAAATTAGTACTGCCAGGGAATTTTCTCAAAAAATTAAAAATAGAACTACCATATGACCCAAATATCTCACTACTGGGTACACATACAAAGGAAATGGGGCAGTATGTAGAAGTAATTGCGACACTCTAATGTTTATTGCAGCGTTATTCACAATAGCCAAGATATGAATGCAAACTAAGTGTCCATCAGTGGATGGGAGGACATCATGTTAAGTGAAATAAGCCAGGCATAGAAAGACAGATATCACATAGTCTCACTTATATGCCTAATGTGAAAATGTTGAACTCGTAGAAGCAGTGAGTAGAATGGTGATTTCCAGGAGCTTGAGTTTGGGGATATGCGGTGAAAAGTTTGAGGAGAGGTTAGTCAAAATATACAAAATTTCAGTTAGGTGGGAGTAATAAATTTAAAAGAGCTATTGTACAAGATGGTGCTATAGTTAATAACAATGTATTGTATTCTCAAACATTTCTGAGAGTAGATTTTAAGTTCTCTTACTACACATACACACAAACACACACACACACACACACACCCCCCACATATGTAACTTCAGAGTAACCATTCCCCAATGTAAATATATTCCAAACATTTGTACACAGCAAATACACACAACTATTATTGGTCAATTTTAAAGGTATTTAAAAGAAGAATTATGTATGAAAAGATAAATAAACTGAATTTTCTGGAAATAACTACAATTAAATTGTCTTTTATATACTCACAGATATGTACAGTTATCATGATAGTTATTATTAGAATATTTTCATTATCTCAGAATAAACCCTCCACCTCTCTATTATTACCCCATACAATCTCTTGTTCCCAGGCTTAAGCACTCACTAATATGTTTTATTTCTACATAGGTTACCCTATTCTGGACTTTCCTATCAATGGACTCATATAATTTTTGAACTTTTGTAAGTAGCGTTTTTTGTTTAGCATAATGTCTTAAAGACTGATCCAAGTTGTAGCGTGTATCAACCCTTCAGTTCTTTGTGTGGCTGAATGGTATTCCATTTTATGAATATACCATACTTTATCCCTTCATCTTTTGATGAATAGAAAATTGTTGTAAATCATTTTCTAAATATTTAATTTTCTCATTTCTACAGATGGTGTGATTGAAAGTAAAACTCCATTAAGCAATTTAATATAATCAAATATTTTACAAAATTTCTAGGTTGATATTTGTTGTTTTGTTTGCTTTTATATTTTACTTAATATTGGATCTGAATTCACTTCACCATAGGCTGTTACGATTATCCTAATAGATATGAGTTTTAATAGTTTTTTTACTATTTGATTCTTATATCTTTCCATTTTTCACACGAGTGATTTTTATTTTACTATTTTAAATAATATATATAGTATCATAAGATTTTATACTGCTATGTTTAGATAAATACATCGTATATTTTTAAGTATAAATTATTTTTGTCTTAAATATATTTTCATATCTGGTTAAATATATATTTTCCTGTTTTGTCTCTTTCAAAAGTATTATTTTTTATCTTGTATACAAAATTTATAATTGCATTACCAACTTTAAAATCATCTTTAAGTTTTGCATTCCATTGTTTGACAACAGCAAAATTTGGAGATGGTTTAAATCCTTTTCCCCACACTGGTGTTATTGTGTAGCTTTTGGTTAGTCAAAGCTCACTTTTCACATTACAGTTCTATAGTTTTATGACACTTAGGTTTTAGAATTTCATTGTAAAGGGTATTTCTATTTTTTCTATCATTAATTTAATATTCTTTTTGATATTTAGTTATTCTTGGATATATAAGTTGCTATCATATATTTAGACTATAACTCTTTCTTTACCAAACTCTTATTAATTGTAATTTTCTTATTTTCTCCGTTTTTCTAGATGTTATGATGCTATTTCATATCTTAATGGTTTAGTAACTAAATTGGTCTTCAAATATTACATACATTAAAGTTTTTTCCATTGAATATTTTATATGAATCATTTGAATAATATTACATTTGTGAATTAATACAGTATCCTCATAGGCTTCTGCTACCAAAGATAACCTCTATACCTTTGCAGTATTCATCATCTTCATGTGTTCTGAAATTTTATGTTATAAAGTGCCTCAGGGGAAATCTGGGAAAATAGCAGAGTAGGAAGCATGAGGAATTGGTCTTCCCACCTACACAATAGCGTGGACAAAATCATTCTGTCTGATGTAACTATTTTGGAATTCTGGACTCTATCAAAGGCTTGCAACTTCAAAAGAACGCAATTTTGGTCAATTTAAGCTCTTCGCACAGTATTACTTCCCCAGCCCTGTGACAGGCAGCTGTGCACTTGTTCCTGGAGAAACCTGCCCACAACTTACAGGAGCCAGGATGACCAAAAAGATTCTGTCTCCCTCCTCCAAATCTTGAGGTCCTGTGCGCTGATCTTTGACTGCTGCTGTATATATCTCACAGAGGTACAGGAAGATAGGCAGCCGTTGTTATTGCCCCTTTTATCACTGTTACAGTTTCTCCCCCTCCAGGCTGAAGTGACTTCTTGAGGATTTAAAGAACCAGCATCATTTTTCTTTCCTTCATTTCTCTCTCTCTCTCTCTCTCTCTTTTGTGGGGGGTGCAGAGACAGACATTAAAGACTAGGACATTTAAAAGGAATGGAATATATGAGGGAGATTAAAATGTGACTACATATGCTCAGGGAAAGGTATGAACCCAGAAAAAACTGAGAAGCATAAATTTACACCACAGGCTGATATTTGACATACAGATCCTACAACAATCAAGAAATAAAAACAATGAAGATAATAAGAAAAAGCAACAATCTCTGGGGAAAGAGAAAGATTAAGAGTTACCACATTATTAGATTCAAATGCGAGTTTTCAACAAAAAAAAAATTACAGGACTTACAAGAGAGAGCCAGGCGTGCTGGCTCATGCCTGTAATTCTAGCACTTTGGGAGGCAGAGGTGGGAAGATCACTTGAGCCCGGGAGTTCGAAACCAGCCTGGGCAAACATGGCAAAACCCTATCTTTACCAAAAACACAAAAATTAGCCAGTCTCAGAACCCAGTGTCTAAATAAATAAATAGATAAAAATCCAAAATAAAATAATTAAGAAAATACAAGACAGAAAATTATGACCATTGAAAGAAAAACAATCAACATAAACCATTTCTGAAAATGTCCTGCAGGCTAATTTATCATACAAAAACTTTAAAATAACTGTTAAAAGACATTCATAGAACTAAAGAAAGACGTAGAAAAAGACAAAATGATGCATGGGCAAAATGAAACTATCAATAAAGAGATTTGAAAAAGCTGAAAATAATTGAAAAAATTTCTGAAGCTGAATGTTACAATAACTAAACTTTTTTTTTTTAATTGAAAAGAGGGATCCAAAGACAGATCCAAGCAGGCATAGGAAAGAATCAGCAAAATCAAAGATTTTACAATAAAAATTATTGAGATAGAAGAACAACAAGAAAAGAGAATACTGAAGAAGTAAACAAAGCCTAAGGGACATGTGGGACATCATCAAGAGGAATAAGTACACATGCAGGTAGTCCCAGAATGAGAAGAGAGAAAGAGGCAGACAGATTATCTGAAGAAATACTGACTGAAATTTTCCAAATTTTATGAAAGATAAATATAAACATCCAAGATGCTCCACAAACTTCAAATAAGATTAACTCAAAGAGACCATTCCATACCTTGACACATTATAATACATTTGAAAGACAAAGACAATGAGAGAATCTTGAAGGCAGTAAGAGAAAAACAACTTGTTACATACAAGAGATCTTCAATAAGATTATCAGTAGATTTCTCATCAAAAACTTTGGAGGATAGAAGGCAGTGGGCCAACATATTCAAAATACAAGGGAAAAAAAAACTGTCAACCAAATTTGATACCCAAAAAAAAGTCTTGACCAGGCACGATGGCTCACTCCTGTAATCCCAGCACTTTGGGAGGTTGAGGTGGGCAGATCACGAGGTCAGGAGATCGAGATCATCCTGGCTAACACGGTGAAACCCTGTCTCTACCAAAAATACAAAAAATTAGCCTGGCATGGTGGCGGGCTCCTGTAGTCCCAGCTACTCGGGAGGCTGAGGTAGGAGAATGGTGTGAACCTGGGAGGCGGAGCTTGCAGTGAGCACTCCAGCCTGGGCAACAGAGCAAGACTCCATCTCAAAAAAAAAAAAAAAAAAAAAAAAAAGTCTTACAAAAGAGAAATTACAACATTTTTAGTTAATTAAAGAAGGAGTTTGTTCCACTATAGCTGACCTGAAAAACATGCTTTGGGAAATTCTGCAGGGTAAAATGAGAAGAAACTAGACAGTAACTCAAATCCATACGAAGAAATGTAAATCTCAGTAAAAGTAAATATATGGGCAATTTTAAATGTTAGTAATATTATAACAAGGGCTTGTAACTGTACATTTTTGTTTTCTACATAATTTAAGAAACTAATACATTTTTAAAAAACAGGTATTAGTCTAAAAGTTAGTGTTGTTTTATTTTCATTTTATGGACATGGAGTCTATAAAAATGTTACCCAGGTTGGTCTTGAACTTCTGGGCTCAAGTGGTTCTCCTACTTTTGCCTCCCAAAGTTCTGGGGTTACAGGTGTGAGCCAACAAGTTTGTCCTTAAAAGCTATTGTAATTTTTAACTCTGATTTGTTACTCTAGATTTTGTTTCTATATAATTTAAAAGAGAATGCATTTAAGAGGATTACTAGTTTATGTTTTGCGGAATACAATGTATAAAGAAGTCCTTTTATGTTATCCACAACCAAGAGGGGTAGGAATGGAGTTGTTGAAGGAGCGGATTTTTTTTGTGTTATTGAAGATAAGCTAATGTACATTTAAGGCAGAATGGTATAACCTTTAGGAATATAGAGTTTCAATTTTCTAAAAAAAGAGTTTGGAGATGGAAAGTGATCAGTTATGGTTACCTAATAGTACGAATATATTTAATGACAGTGGACTGGACATTTGAAGATAGTTGAGAGGGTAAATTTTATGTTATGTACATTTTACCACAATAAAAATATTGGAAAGTTAATAATTACTCAATTAAAAAGTGGGGCAGGATGTAAAGAGATTTCTTCAAAAAAGGTTATACAATTGGCCGATAAACATATAAAAAACTCTCAATATCATTATACTTCAAATAATGGAAGTAACATCATTATCAAATAGTATCATTATGGAACTTCAAATCAAAAGAACCATAAAAATCCACTGCACAGTCACTAGCATGGAAATAATTTAAAGGATAGATAATATGCATTAGGATGTAGAGAAATCAAAACCCTCATATATTGTTAGAAATATAAAATGACGCAGCCATTCAGAAAACAGTCTGGCAGTACTTCAAAAAGGTGACCATAAAGTTGCCATATAATATAGCACTCCACTGGAATTGCATACCAGTTCCCTTAGGTATGCAGCTAAGGGAAATGATAAAATGTAAAGCATATACATGAATGTTCATCGCAGTATTATTCGTAACAAAAAGTCAAAGCAGCCTAAATGCTATCAACTGATGAATGCATAAATAAAATATAGTACTCCCGTACAATGGAAAAGTATTCTACCTGAAGAAGAAATGAATAATTGATACGTGCTAGAATCATGGATAAACTTTGAAAACTTTATGCTAAATGAAAGAAGCTACATATAAATAACCACATATTGGATGATTCCATTTGTATGTTCTTGAATAGGCAAACATTATTCCATATATATTGTCTTAAATAGGCAAATCCTTAGAGAATAAAATTAGAGAGTGGTTGTGTAGAGCTGGGGAAAAGGAGAACGGAAAATGTTCATGGATACAGGTTGGCTTTTAGGGTGATAAAAATGTTCTAAAACCATGGCGATGGTTGTACAATTCTGAATATACTAAAAATTATTGATTAAATAATGGATGGTTGTATGGCATATGAATTATATCTCAATAAAGATGTTTTTAAAAATGAACATGTTTCAGGTTTATACTTTACTCCACAGAACACAGTTCTTAAGGATATTAGTAATTAAGCAAGCCCATTAAAATATCTGAATTTAGCAAAGTCAAACAGCCTTTTTATGGTAGGGCTCATCAGAAGTACTAAAATTCTAATATGCACTATGATCCTTGTGATTTTTATGTGGGAATAAAACATAACTATTGACATTGAGGCATTTTATTCTGCTCTTCTGTTAACAACTGGTTGTATGCATTTCAGGGAACGCCTTTGGAAAACGGTACTCTACGACTGTCATTTCTTTCCCAGTCTAGTCTAAAATGTTATGCACAACTTGTTCTTCTTTTAAGGATCATTTTGTATTTGAGAAAGATTATTAGATTATATATTTTCACTGGTTCAACTTAAGCCTTTAAATTACGCACAAACTGATTACTTTCTTATAAGCTACTCTCTCATCTAGATGGATATATATTAATGAAAATCTGTAGGCACTGTCACTAGCATGGAAATAATTTAAAAGACAGTTTTTCTTTACTTATAAAGAAAAGCTGAGTATTCTATAGGCACAGATATAAATAAAGTTATGCTCTTTAGCAAAACCAGAATGAGCTAGTCGAAGAATGTGATATGTAATATATTAAGAATATTGCATCTGACCAATGATATGTTCTGAAGTTTAGCTGGCCTTTAAAATAGTTTTATATATTCATAATATACTTTTATACATATGAATATTATATAAATTAAATTGACATTTAATGTTTTATATTCTTGAAGGAAGGACATTATGCTTGGTGTGAAAATAGCTTTAAAATGAAGTGAGATAAAATGTATATATATCCAAACACTATAATTACATTTTTTATTGTGGTAACGACACCTAAAATGAGATCAACCCTCTTAAATTTTTAAGAGCACAATGTAGTATTACTATCTATAGGCTCCATGTTGTACAGTAGATTTCTAGGATTTATTTATCTTGCATAACTAGAATGTTACACCCTTTAAATAGCATCTCACCAAATTCCCCTCACCCCAGTCCCTGGCAAATGCCAATGAATATTGGATAATTATTTTTATCAATGAAAGCAACATTAATGGCTAATCTTGTCACTTCCTGGATTGACTTGATCCGTTTCACAGACAGTGTTCTCATCTAGGTCTCGTATTTGACCTATATGCTCCCTCAGGTTTCTTCTTCTAAATTCTTATTACCTGTATCTAAGTAAATTCAAAAAAATAATTTGCCTGTCCGGGTGTGGTGGCACCTGTAATCTCAGCACTTTGGGAGGCCGAGGCGGGTGGGTCACGAGGTCAGGAGTTCAAGACCAGCCTGGCTAATACCGTGAAACCCCGTCTCTGCTAAAAATACAAAAATTAGCCGGGTGTGGTGGCCCATGCCTGTAGTCCCAGCTACTCAGGAAGCCGAGGCAGGAGAATAGCTTGAACTCAGGAGGCAGAGGTTGCAGTGAGCTGAGATCGTGCCACTGCACTCCAACCTGGGTAACAGAGCAATACTCTATCTAAAAAAAAAAAAAAAAATCCTGCCACTATATATATACCAAAATAAATTGTATTATAATGTGAAAGTTTGCTTTCAAATACTCTCTAATCATCTTTAAACTGTCTGCGATTTTAGGAATTTAATATTTGAATAATGCAAATAGTTAAGTGAGAGCCTATTTCTATGACTGTTTCTGGTTCTATTTATTGTAGAAAAAGAAAGAAAAAGTAACTTTCCTTCACTGAATATCGCATCAAAAATTTGTGACCACAAAGGGCATTCAGTTTTGTTGCCATGGGAGCATCTGGCATCTACTCTGCTTGGAGAGTCCTGGGAATGGAAACTTCCAGCAGCGAAACATGTTCCTTACAACATTTGGGCCTTGGTGGCTGTAATTTTAATGATGATCAGCTGTCATTTTTATACACAGTTTCATTATAAGATAGTGAACTTATTTTTTTGATAGTGAACTTTAAAGTACTAATAAGGTAGATTTATACGATGCCAAATCAGTAATTTAAAAACAATAAAACAGTTTTTTATCATTTGATTCCATTTTTATTGTAGTAAAAAAGAAATACGTAAATGCACTTGGTTATTTAGGTATATTCTGAGTGATTACTTATAAAGAAGAACTAAGTATTTAACTTTTATTTGGCTCTCTCTTGTTTGCCTCACATTATAGTATTTCAATTGTGGAGCAATATTTTTGAAGTGAGTTTTTCTATGTCTTTTTGGAATTCAAAGTTCTAGTGTGATATGTTTGGTTTTGATGGAACCGCTGTAGTTAGAGTTAGAGAGGTCAACACATGCAAAGCATGGGACCATGCACAATGACGCAGATTCTCCTTGGTTTCTCTTAGTACATGTTTAATTTCTGTTAGAATAATTCTGCCATATTTTAAGTTGGAGGATTTAAGTACTCACAGGCATATCTGCTTCTAGGAAGAACTTCTAGGCAGTGATTTAGCTTATTGTGAAACTGGAATAAAAATGCTTCTTCTGTGCTTCGCCTCTGCAGACTCCTTTGCATACATTCATGTATGCTTTTTGAGAAAATAAATTAATGAATCATCACTCTTTTACATCGAAACAATTGTAGTTTGGGTATAATGATTGTTAAAAGGAGGGAGAACTGAATTTCAGCCTTCTCTTCCTCCCTTTGCTGAAATTGTATGTATGGTGTACAAACTGCCTACCTGTCGGCTGTTGTTCTGCTTCCAGTCTTGCTGCCTAATTGCCTTAGTATCTGATGTTTGCTCCTGGATATCCTTTATCAGTGATAGTGAATTTCCATCACACTTTTCAATGGCCAATGATCCCAAAGTTCTTCTTACGGCTTGCATCAAAACATATATATGCTATTATATACACTTTACTAATTATATCTGGAATTTTAATGTATTTAAAAAGAAGGGTAAATGAAGCAAACTCATAGTCAGCTACCTAAACCTTTAGATTTCTTTCACTTATTTATTTTTTGCCTGGAGGGTCACTTTTACTAAAAGATTAGTGCCATTCTTTTCTTACTTATTCTCTTATTCATCTACTATCATAATGTGGTCTCACATTTATTCTAAATTCACTGGAAAACTTTAATTGGATTCAACAACATTTAAGAAGGTACTTGTACTGGCAGATTACCCTCAAGCTTTAGATCGAAACAACATAATAGTATGGAACAAGGAGGAAAAAACTTTGTTTCTTTAATTTTTTTCAAAATGTCTTTCCTTTAAAAGTTATTCAGGATGAATTTCCACTCTTTCATCTGATATGCTAATCTGAGTGTTCATTACAGAATATTGTTTATGTACCTTAAACTACTTGGGAAGCATTACACGACAGCTGTCTTCTTAATATCCTCACAGAAATTAGTTCTTCTATTTCAGGAAACTATCCCAGTGATCCCAATATGGCTCCCTATATAAATATGTAAATCTATTTCAGAATCACCCACAGACTGTGTATTATAGATGTCTGTGATTCAAAGTACTTGCGTGCTAAAATGTATATCTCTACACAATGATAATATGCAAATGGGTTTAACTTGATACGATTAAATCAATTTAAACTAATGATGCAATAAAAGACAGGTAGATAGACACATATGCAAAACTTATTCACAGTAGTAAGCATTCTGCACTTAAATTTTTCTCAATAAAGTTAACACTTTTCATTAAAGAACTCGTGTGATTTACTAATTTAAATATCTATGTTATAAAATAAACATTTGCTTGTAATAAAGTTGATTTTTACCATTTATCACTAATCATTGACTAAGAAAATTCTTGCCTGCAATGAATGAAAGCAAAATTGTGGAAAAAATTAACAATGTCACAATTACCATTTTTGAATAATGGTTGAAGATATTATTGTGTATAATCATTTGTGTAAGTTATTACTACAATAAGCATAAATGCTCTGTTGTAAGTACAATTTTAAATTATTTAAATAAAAGAATATAACTTATGAAACAATACATGAAATCTTTCATTAATTAATAATTCCTATTTAGGTGGAAAAAGAAATATCCTCTATGTTAGCGCTTTTATGGCTTTTTGTTGCAGTTGATCAGTATACATATTGCTAATCGTTCCTTTGTAGATTACATATTGTATATGTCAATAAAATGTGTAGAATACATATTGTAGATGTCAAAATTTATATGTCATTTAGAAATGACTATATCTGATTATACCTATGTATAAATTTCAGTTAAACTTTTGCTTCCTGGTTAGGTTAGTTCTACATAAAATCCTTCACTTTGCAAACTTATAAGACCATTTAAAATCAACATTCTGACATATTACTTTAACGCTGCTCTGTGGTCATTTTAAAATGACATTTTAACATAGCAACCACAAATATAATATTGCTCAAATAAAATTATTAAAGCTCTTTATTGTGGTCCGTTTCCCATTTTTATCTTAAAATACACTTTAGTGATGAGTGTTATGAAACTACATTTTATGCATTTAAAAATAATGTAGAGTAATTGTTAGGATATTAAATTAATACTGTGGGTTTTATTTAAATAAACAATATAATCAGTTACATTCAGGAAATAAAATTCATAAATAAAAATGTATCAGAAGAAATCGTGATTCCCAATGGATACAATTGCCATTTGTGATAGCTAAATTCAGTTGTAATTAATGCTTAACATTGTCAATGGTGAGATTTGAGAAAAATAAAAGTACAAGTGGTGTAATAGCACAGACATTTTGTGAAGAATTATATTAATTTTTAGGTAAATAAGCTCGCATTTCTTCATAGGCATGGTAGAAGATAACATCACTATATCAATAATAGAAAGAAATAGTCCCCAAATTTTAGGTTTGAGAGGTTTTAAACCACTTAAAAATGGGAGAGAGCATTTTGATAAAATTTAGTATAAGTTGAATTATCCTATTAATTTTCCCAAATCCAATTATTTCATTGGTTTTTAAAACTATAAAGAACAAACTCAAACAAATTTACAAGACAAAAACAAACAACCCCATCAAAAAGTGGGCAAAGGATATGAACAGACATTTCTCAAAAGAAGACATTCATACAGCCAACAGACACATGAAAAAATGCTCATCATCACTGGCCATCAGAGAAATGCAAATCAAAACCACAATGAGATACCATCTCACACCAGTTAGAATGGCGATCATTAAAAAGTCAGGAAACAACAGGTGCTGGAGAGGATGTGGAGAAATAGGAACACTTTTACACTGTTGGTGGGATTGTAAACTAGTTCAACCATTACGGAAAACAGTATGGCGATTCCTCAAGGATCTAGAACTAGATGTACGATATCTTTTGTTTAATCAAATATGCTCCTATAAATATAAGTATTTTATAATATGATTGATATTTCATATAATAATATCAATTATCAGTTAAATAGCAATGTATTCAAATTTCCACTAAAATTTGAATTCTAATACAATTAGAAAAAAAACTACACAAAAAAGATAAAATAATCTTGTACAAACATCCTTACTGGAACATTATCTAAATGTTTCACCTTAAAGAATACATCTATTTTCATCAAAAGATTAAACAACTCATGTAAAATGTGTCCCTTATGGATGTTTGAATCATTTTATAGAATATGTTCTTTAATTGTATTTGTCAATGTTAATTATTTTAATAGGAGAAGGAAAGACGTAATACATCACAAAATTAGCATATACTTATATTTTTATCTTATTTATTGAGGTTTCCAATGTTAATATAGCTTTAATATGATAAGCTTTCATCAAGAACCAATGCAGCTATCATTATTTTAAAAGTATTTTTCTCATTAACAAGTACTATATGTATTTTATTTATTGAAAAGACTATCAAAAGTAGAGAAGTATAAATAAAATAATAATAATAGTATCCCAATAATTTGGGCTATTTCCCAAATAGCCACTATTGCTTTTCGCCATATTTCTTTTAATGCTTTATTTTCTTTATGTATGTTTATTCTGTTAATTTATATCAAAATGCAATGTTAATACAATTTACCCCTTCACAAAAAGAAATATATTCCATAAACATCAAATATTTTGATATTGATCTCTTGGTTTTATGTGGTTTTATTAAATTTCTAGACTTTTATTTCAAGATGTATTTTTTTGGGGAAGAAAATGGTGCCTTCCTAACAGATAATTTGATGCAAAATATTTTAATAAGAGTAAAATTCTGACACTTTCAAGACTGTCCCTTATTTTTATATGATTTCTTTCTAAATTACATGCACATGAATTCTTAGATACTCACTATATAAAGATAC